TCTCTCTTGCCCGCTGCTGTCAGCAGGCCTGAGTGCTGCAGGGCCCTTGGCTGGGGTTCAACAAAATTCCCTCCATCCCCATTTCCCTTTGTGATTTCCACCGTGCCTGATCCTCCTCCCCTTCTCCCCGCCGCTGTCAGGAGACTCAAATATGGTCACAAACAGACGTGCAAGGCAACCCAGCACACGCTCACAGCAGGAGGGATGGAGATGGGGTTTGCTTGCAGAGCAGCACCGAAACAGCCCCATGCAGCCTCATCCCCAACTAAGGGCCGAGCCCCGTCCTGAACTGAGTGCCAAGGGACACAGAGCCTGTTTTCCTTCTGCCACGTCCTACGCAAAGCCTGGCCTGAGCGCCTGGTGCTTTCTCCCGAGCAAGGGTGGGCAGTCACGTACCTCCTGGCAGGCTGATGGGCCCGCAGACCTTCTCCTTGGAGCCTTGCTCCTGCACGTAAATCCTCTTGGTGCAGAGCCGCCATAGCCCGAAATGAGCGGCCTCGCAGGTGGCGTTGAACTCCTCCACCTTGGGGCTGAGCACGGCCCAGTGGTCCGTCACCACGGCCGCGAAGAGCAGCGAGATGCCCACCAGGATGACGGAGAACGTCAGCCGCACCTTCAGGGGTTTGCTGTCGTCCATCCCGCTCCGGAGCGGCGCTCCCGGCCGAGCGCGGCGGGCGCTTCGCGAGGGCTCCCGAAATCCTGGCGCATCTGAGCGTGTTTGGAAATGTCAGCTCCAGGGAGAGTGGCCGCAGGCAGCTGCTGGGCTGTGTCAGCCGGTGCCCGGGAGGCTGCTCACGAACAGCTCAGCTTTCGGCCCCGTCCCACCCGCCTTATTTTGGATTCCCACGGCCAGGCGCGCTCGGCGCAGCCACCGCGGCCGCCACTCAGGGGCTGCGATGTCTTGGCTTGCAGCATGCCCAGAAATAGGCATTAATAGGACCATTAACTTCTCAGCGAGGTTATAAAAACATCTGTGTTTATAATAGTGCCGGGCCTGAGCTCAGGCTGATCCCAAACAGTTTAATAGCCCCGCAGCCCGCACGCCCACGCCTGCGGCTCACAGTGGGCTCTGCACGGAGCTCAGAGCTGGATGTCCCTCCAGAGCCCAGGACTGTGGCAGAAAATGGCAAAATAAGACAACTTGTTTATTGATTTTTATTACAATTTTTTGTTCTGTTTTGTTATATTACTTTTTATTAACCTGAACTATTCTGAGTAGTTGGGGGCATTTTTTTTCTGGTCGTTGTTTGGGGTTTTTTGTTTTGGGGTTTTTGTGGGGGTTTTTTGGTCTTTTTTTTTTCTTTCCTATTTTTTCTAATGCAAAACTTTGAGTACTCTTTGCTTTCCCACCAGCCAGTTTCCTCTCAATGCCTTACTGTAACTCCAGCAGCCACCCAACACACCCTTTCCTTCTTCCAGAAGTGACTTCCCTTAGCCCAGATTCCTGGGACCGGCTTCTCTCCTTCCCTTTGACACTCCATCTGATTGTGAGAGCTAATTTGATGATAATGTCAATGCAGAGGCCACTGTGGAGGTGACATTACAATTGTGATGTCAAAGTGAGGAGGGTGACAGTAGCTGAATGTTAAAAGAATGGGTAAAAAAATGCCAGTGGAAAGCTGCAAATATCATTGTGTCAAGATAATGTCAGAGCTACTCCAGTCCTGCTTTATTAACACCCCAGTTTGATGTCAAAATAAAGGTGCAGAGGTGTCAGCTCAAATTGATGAGGACAATGTGGAGCAAGGAGTTGAGGTGTGAGGAGAGCGTGGGAAAGGAGAGAAAATAAAGAACAAATTAAAAAATGTGATCCACAATAACTGTAATTGAAATACATCTTAAAGGGGTTAATGTTACCCTGCTTGATGTGTGATAGGGCTTGCTCAGACACCCCTGGGGGGCAGGGGACAATTCTGAACCAGGGATGGCATCTGGTGCCCCATTCCTGATGGGAATGTGGGGAGCAGGGGAAGAGTGAAGGTACGTGGTGCAGAACTGGAGGGGAAGGGGAGGGGGACCAGGGAGGGCAGTGGGGACGTGGAGCAAGGCAGGGATCAGAGACCACAGGCACATCCACGTTGGGGCTGGCAGAGATATGAGAGGATTGCATTTAAACCAGAACCAAGAGTTCTCAAGAAATGGAAAAGCCTAAAGGGAGCAGGCTTTAAACCAGCAAAGGAAGGCATTAAAGATGTGATGCCTTTTCCTTTGAAGCAGGCTCTTGTTAAATTTCTCTGGACACCAGCTGATCTCCGGAGCTGCAGCCCCACTTCGCTTCCTTGATGCTCCAAACTCCACAGGTGGAGCAGAGGGAAGGGAATGTGTGTTTGCAAATGTGGGCACAAAGTGAGGTTCTGGTTGCTGAGGAAGCAAGTGCTAATGATCCTGCTTTAGACTAATTACAACCTACAAGGACTGCAGGGCTGGGAACTCATTAATTTCTTTGCTGGTGTTGGTCTTTGTGTCTCTTCCAGTGTTGGCAAGAATCATGCTTTTTGTTCTCATTTAGGTCTTTCAATCTGGATAAGTTCAATGGGTTTGGTTTTGTTTTGAGTTTTCCTAATTTCCAGGAAACAACTTAAGCGAAATCAGAAGGGAGAAATTCATCCCTCCCTCCTGCTTGAGTGGAGCTGGGAGTGTGAACGAGCTTTGATGAGTCCCAGCATGAGCAGCAGTGGCTTCTCTGGGGACTGAAAGCTCACATTGCTGCAGCTGAGGTTGTCCCCATCCCCCCAGAAATGACCTAGAGCTGACAATCCATGGGGAAAAAAAAGTGTTTTGTGGGTTATTGCTCCCCACGGGCTCTGTGGGTTGGCTACATGAGCTGATGCAGCCCCATTGCAACGATGCTGCTGCCGCCTCCTCCCAGCACAGGCTCCGTGTGTTTTTCGGAGCTTCTGGCAGGTATTTGGTGATCAGCACCTTGGTGAGAGCCAAAAGGCTCCTCTGCTCTTGGGCTGAGCCTCTGTCCCCAACCTGGGAACTTCTGTCCCAGTGTGGAGGTGAAGTTGCCTTCCCTGGGGCTTCCGAGGCTCCGTGGGGCGGGTTGGGCACCTGATAAATGCAGAAGCAAAGGGATTTCTGGAGGAGAAAAGGACACAGTCTCCTTGTGTCAGGTGGCAAGTATTCACATTTAAAAATCAATATCATATGAAATATAAACAGACTATTAATGAGGACCTGTTGGGAAGCAGAAGGGTTGTAATTAGTTGCACTTTAGCTCCCTGTGTGTGAGGGACACAATTCTGTTTCTCTGCTGGAGAAAATACCAAAGGAGGTGCCTGAAACCCAACTATTTGTTGTGTTTTCCCTGGCAGAGGTGGTGGCTTGGCTCTGCTCCCCAGCACTTGCACTCTTCTGTATTTCTTCCAGAGCAGCCTCAGGATTTACCACGACCAGACTGACCCCATTCTGTGGTTCCCTGCTGGCAGAATGATGTTCTGCAGAAGACCCTTCCCAGGTGAGAATAACCCAGAGAATAACCTGGTCTGTTCCCAGCTCAAATGAGAGCTCAGCAAACAGCTTTTTTCCCGTAGGAAAATGTTTGGGCTCCTCAGCCTGCATTGCCCCAGTGGGGTGAGACCACCGGGATCGTGGTGGGTTCTGCGTGGCTGACACCTGGGAACACTTCAAAAGCTCCCTGATCCTGGGGCTGAAATCCTGCCAGCTCTGAAGGCAAGAGCAAAATGTGTGTGTGTGTTTGTGTGTTTTGGTTGGATATTTTATCTTTTAACAGACCTCCCACCCTGCTGTACACAGCCCAGCCTCTTCCCTGCAGGGCACAACCAGGGCTGGTCAACCTGTGTGCCTGATCCAAGCTCCCTTCTCCCAAAATACCACCACCATGCTGGGGGTGCCGTTCTGGGAAGCACTGCCCTGGCTCCAGGGAAGCAGGGCTGTAAGCTGAGCTGGGCTCCAGACAGGTGCAGAGCCTCTCCATTGCCTCTTATTTTCAGCACCACCCATCTCTGTTACTTTTCTCATTCTGAGGTAATGCCACATTCTCCTTGCTGGACTCTTTTTCCACTCTTTTTCCACTCTTTTTCCAAAGCTTTAAGGGCTCTGTCTTTGCTTCCCCCCCACCTCAAACACCCCTTTTCGATCCACCCCTGTGTTCGCAGCAGGGCAGCCTCAGCTCCTGGGGTCACAGACTTGCTCTGCAATGTGGGAAAAGCCTTTATTTATAATTTCAGTCCAGGGGAACCAGCTTTGGGCTCGAGCTTTAAAGGGCTTCACTGCCGTGTGTCAGAGGCATTTGAAAAGATGAATCCCCTGCCTCCCTCCAGACGTGCCAATCCATCACACGGCCGGGAGAGGCGGATGGAGACACACGGGCAGTCTTCATCTGCAGAGACAGTCTGGAGGCTGAGGAGCTGGGAGGTAAAGTTGAAAGAAGGATTTGAAGAAGAAATATTGCCTGTGCACAGGGGTGGCTCAGGATGTCTGGGAGCAGGGAGAGGCTGCTGAACTGCTGCCCCGTGCCCGGCACCGCTCGTCCCGCACGGGTTTTGGGGTGGCGATCAGGCCAAGGCTGTGGGAGCTTCAGCACGTGGGGTCAGGGCTTCCTTCAGGCAAAATGGGCAAGGTCAGGGGAGAGGAGGGTGCTTGGAGGTGAATTCAAATGAAACCTTAAAAGCTGGAGGAAAGCACAGGCTCAGGGTGAGCGCCTCAGAAGACACTGGGTTGTTTTTCTTGGTGATGGTTTGCAGTGACTTCTGGCCACCACATCAGGCTCAAAATGGGCACTGAAGCTGGAAACTAGAAGACCTTTCTTAGTTTCCAACCCAACTAACTGGAAATACTGTGGGGATAGCTCATCTTGGAGATTTTGTGGTCTGTGGGACCATAAGAATAGTTCTATCTCCTCTGATATATTGGCTTCCAGTAATGTGGCCGGCTGCAATCAAACAGGGAGAAGCGTGAAAACATAAACACAGAGATCTCATCTCAGAGAATCTGGAAATTAAAAATCTATATACCTCTCTCCACACAAAACCAGATACATTTAAAATGGTTTATTTAAAAAGTAAGGATTAAGTACATTATACATGGTTGTGATTATACCAGTAGAACTGAAGCACAGTGGAAATAACACTTTAGAACTGCAGACAGAAATGTAGCCTCAAGGGACGTGATATATTAGCCCTTGTGGATATGTGATCCATACAGAGAGAAAAGGAAATAGAAAAATAGTTTATTGTTAGATGCCTGGGCAGCTGAAGTGATTTCTCTTTTTACTCCTATTGTGGATGAGAAACGAGGAAGAGAGAGCTGATGATACACCTGAAACTTTGTTTCTTGGAAAATCAAATCTGATCCAATAGCTTTTTTTTTTTTTTTTTAAGTTCTGCTCTTACAGTATGTTATATACCAAAAAACTGATTATTGTTAATGATATGGTTCTGTGATATCTGCAGGCCTTGCTGAGAAATGGGGCTCATTTGTTCGGTGCTGGCCGGGGAAACCAGAGAGATGTGGAAGAACAGATGGGTTTTTTAAACCATCACTGAGTGGTTTCAAAGTCTGAGCACAGTCTAACTGTTCAGATAGATCAGCCATGGAGCAAAACTGTTCATGGCCAGGAATGCTGCAGATTTTTTCAGTTTTGTCGGAATCAAAGTTTTCCACAGGAAAGGACTGATTATCTGAGGATTTTCTTTTTTACTGGGATTGTCAAGTGAAAAGTTTTTTTTTGCTTTGGTTGAACAATGTGCTGCACTGCAACTGGGTGAGTTTTCAGTGGCAGCCCCTGTTCTCCCACAGGACAAAAGCTCTGGTCCCATTATCTCCTGGTGGAGATGTGCCTTTGTTCCCTGTCCAGACCCCGTGTCCCATGAGCATCCCAGGATCCCCGCTCCAGCTCCGTTTTTCCAAGGTGCCTGCTGGAGAAGGAGCAGATGCTCCGGCTCGGGCCAGGACAGGGCATCACCCTCGGGGAGCTGCTGAGACCAACCCTGCCCTGGGGGAGGAGGCTCTGCCGAACACCCCAAAAACCCTCAGCAAGATGTTTGGTTTGTTTTTTTGCCAGCGTGGTGTAAAAATACTTCACGTGCCTCTGCAGGTGTGACCTGGGCTGAAGGAAAACCTTGGACTTTGGCTGGAATCAGATGGTTTGAAGCACATTCACTGGAGAATGACGATTAAAAGAACAAAACCAACGCGCGGAGCAAACCTCACACTGTCGACTTCCAGTTCAAGGTACATGAGTTCAGAGAAACAGCCTATATCTAACTCCTGGTTTTAAAGGGAATGGTTTTATTCTTAATTACAGTAAACACGGATGAGGACTTAGTTCTAACTATTAGTTTATTAACACAGTGGGAAACAAATAGTTCTGGGAAATTGCACTTGAAAAATACATCGACTATAATTAGATGTAAATTAATTAGCACTTAGTATGACACACTAATGAGACAGAAGGTTGTTGTTTTTTTTTTCATTGCAAACTTCTACTTCTATCATAGCTAATCAAAGTATTTTAATATTACGAAGTCTCAAAAAGTAGGAAATAATTTATTGTCTGAAAGCATAAAGTTTCTTGTAAAAAAAACCTTTCATCAAGAACTTTAATAATTTTAGAACTCTTTTATGTTGTCCTAGCCGAAAAGTAGGTAAAAAAGTTTTCTTGTCTGCCTCTGTTTGAATATTTTTTTTTTTAAAAAGGCTTGTGTAACATCTTTCTCCATAGTGTGTTGATACAGAAAGTAGCACAACATTTTTCTACTTTTAAATCGTTCCCATTGCTCCATTCGCTTCAGCTCTCAGAGTTCAGAGGTTCGATAAAAGGATCCCAGCAGAGTTTTAACCTGAATGGAAACTCTTAATGAGCAGGGATGAAGGCTCCAACCCACCTCTGCCAAAATAAAGACGTGGCTCTGCCGGGCTGAGGGCCCAGCAGAGCTGAACAGTGACAAGGGGAAGACTTTCGCTTAGAATTGAGAATTGTGTCTTGGTTCTTGCAAGGAGAGAGGCTTAAGTAGGGTTTATCTGTGGGGGAGGGGGGGGAGAAAGGGTTTAACTTGCTTTTTGGGATGTTAAGGCAGCTTCTCCGGGGTTTCCCTGGAGGACTTGGTTCCACTAGCTGAAAGCCTTGAATCCAAACCACCACCGAGTCACGGCCATCACGGGATAAATTAAGACTAAAGAGGTTTAACAGTTTGGCTGAGATCTCCCACCATCAGTGAGCCAAGCTTTCCAAATCATCATTTTTTTTTTTTTCCCTTGTCACCACTTCTCTAGTCTTCTGGGTAAAGATGATGGGCATATTCAAAGGAATCTCCAGGAATCAGATGCTCCTCTCTCACTGCATCTAATTCATCTGTGGGGAATCGGGCACCTCATTCTCATATGGCTTGGTCGAGTGGTCACTAAAATCAGCATGAGTACTATTAAATTAAATTACCTTTGAGTCAGGCCCTCGAGCTTTGAGATCCAAGCCTAAAAGTGTAAAAAAAATGAAAGCAGGAATTTCTAAGGAGAAGAAAAAAAAAAAAAAAATTTCAGGCTCTTTTAGAAACATACAGAAGCAAAGGGTACAAATTAGTTCCCTCCTTACGTGATGCATAGAGTTTGCAGTGGGCTCTCTGCACGTAAGTAAGATGCATCATCACAAAATAAATTAAATCAGGTCGAACCGCCACCATCTCCATCTAAAAGCAACTATACCTTGCACCATGCGGCACTTATTCATAATAAAAAGAGTTTAATAAATATCTCATAAACGGTGACTAAATTTTTTTTTTTTTGTTCTGTTTTTTTTTTTTTTTTCTTTTTTTAAAAATACAAAGTCGCCATCTGCTCTTGTTAACGCTCCGCTCCCGTCGCTGCAGGAAGGTTTGCTAGTTTAGCTCCTCGTCTTCCGCCCGTTGCTTAGAGATCTTAGTTTCCAGTAGCGTTAGTGTTGCACTTGTGAAGCAGTAAGGAAATCAGGAATGCAGGCGCAGGGAACCGGCCAGCCCGGCTCGGCTCTGCCCCTCGCCCTCGCTGGGAGTGTCTCTGGGGGCTCCTGACAGACAGCACTCAGCACCTCGCCGGATCAGGCACTAGGGCTCGTCGAGATGAGGAATTCAAGTTTTCTAAACGTTAGGCAAAAAATGATATTTGCAAATAGGCTCAAGTCCCACCTGCTTCAATCTTTCCCCTTGTCGAGGGGGGGGTCTCAAGACGCATCCAACCCTCTTCTCCTCGACCTGCATCGCCCCAAGGGATGCCTCACACCCAGAAACGGGGGACTCCCTCATCACCCCATCAGGGAGTCCACACTGCTCAGTACGTGGGTGCTCTACGGTTTCAGTGGCACAGGTCAGTTTTAGAAAGTGTTGCCTTCAAAAATATTTTTTTTTCTGTGGTTTTGTTTTTTTTTTTTTGAAAGAGGCAAAGTTTACTCCGTGTCAAAGGAAAGTGGCTCACTCGATGAGTAGTTCATATTCATCCTTGGGCTTGATTATAAATTATATTTGCAAGTTTGTATTAAGGGATCTCAATATTAGAAAAAAAAAAAAAGAAAAAGAAAAGTCGTACAACAATTTTTCTGTAATCCTTTAAAACACACTGGTGGCCTGTCCTTTGCAGTTTCTCCAAGACTGTGTACACACTACAAAAGTGCAGCAACACGAACTGCCTTCATCTCGTGACACCAAGAACGGAAAGAAACAAACTCCAAATAGCTTCAAAAAAAGCTACGAGCGTGTAACATCTTTATGTTGGTCCAGAGGATCTCCACTTGCTACCTCAACACATGCCACAATTAAAGAGGTGAGAGGGTATTTTAACATCGCTCCTTCTCTCCCATGACAGACCCATCCTGTTCTGACACTTCTTCAAAAAGCGCGAGGAAGGGACGTGCTTCAAACGGGCGTCGTCCTCCTGTTGACCATGTTGACGTGGAGTCCTTCCTTAAATTCCTTCTGAAGGAAGTTGTGAACCTGCAGGAAGCTGGCTTCCTGGTCTGCGTTGTAGCTGGCAGCCGTTGTGACCTTCAGGGGCTCCCTGGAGAGGGTGTACATGGAAATCTCGTTCATGGGGATGGTGCTCGCTATCTTCATGCCAACCGGGGAAATGTCTCTGGACGGAGAAGGCTCCGTAGACCGAGAGCTGGATCTGGACCTCCTCCTCCTGTACCTGTAGCTTGGCATCCTGGCATAAGGAGAACTGGAAGAAGTCTTAAGGAATTCCCTCTTGGTCTTAAACCTCAGCTCTTTGTTCTTCTCAATATAAATGTTCACAGCCAGAACACCTATGGTTTCGGCCACGATAAAAGACAAGGCTCCAAAATAAAAAGACCAACCATAGTTGTAATGGTTCTTTTTGTCCTCATCTCGCTTGTCACTTGGGTCACCTGCATTGCTTGATATGTAGACAATGATCCCTATGATATTACTTAGACCTAGAGAAGGGAAAACATAAATCAGCGGTTTATGTGGCTGGGAAGCTGAAATTCAAGCCGTGTTACCTTCTGGACCTGAATGGTTCAAGGATTGCAACCACTAAATTTATTACATGTATTGACTCATCTCATGTTAATTTATCTCAAGGTTCCGTTTATTCTTGAAAAACAAACAATAGATCCACGTCATGGATGCCAAAACATTCAGCAGGATTTTTTTTTCCCCCATCTCTTCATTTCCACAGTGGGAAAGAAGCAGCATATGGGAGCTCACTAATACTGTTAGTGGTATTCTAACATTCAGAATAATGATAAAAATACATTTTGAGCTCAGGGCTATGGCTGTTCACCTTGATCAAGATAAGTTCTCTTCCACCTTGCTGAATTTTCATCTAAATGCAGCATGTTTAATCCAGGCTTCAGGGAAAGCTATTAACAATGGGGCTGACTCTCTCAGATGTTTCTAGGGTGAAAAACAGGCTCACCTATCAGAGGTGAATGTTTTCTGCCACCATATTAAAAATAAGGAAAAGGCCTTAGGTGGAAGAGATGCCTGATTCATCTAATGTTTAATACATTTTAAAGAGTGTAAAACATGCTTGTTACTGATTTTCACTTCCTCTTTCAGGAAAACTAAAAGCTTTTTCTAGAATATACTTATTTTAGGGCTTCAGGAACATAATTGTGTCTGAAGAAATTTGCCTGGTGTGATGCTGTTAGTGCCCCCAATCCAGGAAAGGGGTGCCAGGGAAAGAATTGCCAACGAGCTTTTCCAGTCTTTTTCAGTTGCAAAAGGCAGCACTTCTTAAGGACTCAATTTAAGGAGAACATACCTGCTGCAACAAAGAGAATCCCAGCGCTGAGAATGATGTTGTTTTTGCTGTTGTAAATCCTTCCTGCTCCGACACAGAGTCCTCCCAGCAACAGCAAAATTGTGCTTAGGATGGGGAACACGCTGGAGGCACGGACGATGCCTGGAGGGAGACAGGTAGGAAAGCAAGACAGACAGTAATCATTTCAGATGCCTCCTCAGGTGCAAGTGTGGAGATTAGAGTCTCAAAGTCCCTGGCTTTTCAGAGAATCATTAAGAAGAATGATATAGAATCACAGAACTGTTTGGGTTTGAAAAGACCTTTAAGATCATCAAGCCCAACTGTCGACCCAAACCTCCACTGTGTTCACCACTAAACTACATCCTCAGGAGCCACATCCACACATTTTTTGAACACTTCCAGGGATGGTGATTCCAACCACTTCCCTGGGCAGCTGTTCCCATGCTTTACAATCCTTTCATTGAAGAAATTTTCCCTAATATCCAATTTTCTTTTTTCTAGAATTATTACTGATTCTGCATTTCTGAGCATGTCCTCCGGAGCCAAGACCTTGGGTAGGTGGCCAGACTCTCAGCTGAGTAGCTTCAATCTTTTGAGCTTTCTTCGAGGAAGTCCAGCCTTATCAACATTATCTGATGCCATCACGTGCAGAGTATTTCTGGCAAAGCATGAGGTAAGTGACAGTAAGACCCAGCATCACGCAGGGAGCAGCTGTGAAAAATTCATGAGCTGGTTATGAACCCTACGAGGTTTGGGACGGCTGGAGCAGACGGATCTGTTCCTTGCTACATGTGCAAGGTGAGCAAATCACAGCTTTTGAAGTCAGCAGCATCCATGTTGCCAGCAAGCACAGTTAATAACCCCTTTTTATTTGGTGGGTGTTAAGGACACTGCAACCTTTCAGATTTCGAAGGAAGAAATCCTAACAAGTGCGTCTTAGATGTTTGTGTTTAGTTTTCTGACAGCAAAGTAGAGTCATTTAAAATTCTGTGTGCTTCAGTCCATTCACCAGCATGGGCTATAAAATCCCCACAAAAATATCAGAACACCACTTCAAGCCAGCTTTCAAAGTCAGGTCACAACCAGACTGAGCAGCAATCGACAGGGAAGCGGCAGGGAGGGAACAAAAGGGCTGAGAAAAAATAAACAAGTGCAAGAAGAGGGATGTCTGTATTGTAAAAACCAAAGGGGGAGAAGCTGCAGGGGTTCCTGAAAGGCAGAGCGAGGAACTGAGTTATATTATTGTTGGAGAGAGAGGGTTTTTTTTTTGGAGTAGGGGAGATAAGGTGCTGTGGAAAACAGGATCACCCAAAAGCTGGGAACTGTGCAAAGGTGAATGCCTGGAGGGGAGTCCTGGCAAGGCGAGTGCTGGGGGGATGCCTGAGGTGAGTGGGGTCAGAGTTTGCTGTCAGAGGGGCATGGAAATCCCAGAGCAGACTGGGAGGACATGGGCAGCCCAGGGCTGAGTGCTGGGAGAGCAGGAAACGCCATCTGCACGTCTCCTTTGCCGCGGTGCCCCGAGCACTGCGGCCTCTCCCGGGTGCCATCCCTGGCTGACACGCACAGAGAGCGGCGCCCGTCTCCCGAGGAGGAATGGCCAGATGTTACAGCTGATGCCTTCTCATTTCATTGTTGATGGCCATGGCATTCCCGACTCAGTGAATCGTTCCCCTGGTAACTGGTGGCACAGCTCCCACCGAGGGCTGAGGGGCAGGGCTGGGTGTTTGCTCCGTGTGCTCTGTACAGCCCCGGAGACCCCGCCACGGACCAGTCCTCCTGAGCAACGGTGCGAACACAAACCCAAAAAGACAGTCCCTGCCTGGGAAGATCCTGCCTGTATCGATCTGCAACGGTGAGAAAAGCCCAGCCCTTCCCGAAGTGGCAGCGTCGCCGCACGTGTCCCTCACAGACGGGGCATTTTCTAGCGGGATCTGAACCCCATTCAGGCAGGGCATTGCTATTCAGGCAGCGTCTCGCAAGGGCTGCCAGATCCAAGTGACGTGGCTCTAAGGTCTCTGGTCAAAGCCTGTTGAGAGGTGAGGACCCGTCCTCCTGTCCTGCCTGCATCCCCACGCAGCTGGTGCAAAGCAACAGCACTTCGGCTTCTGGGTGAGTTTTTAGAATCAATAAATAGAAGAAGATTCACAGTCAGTCTCTGCTGCTGGACGTTAAGGTACCCCAAATCACTGCCTCTTAGTGCCCTGGCTGAAGGCAGCACTGGCTTAAAATCTGTGGCCCACTCTTTCTGGATGTTATTTCCTATATTTGATGGCCATGCTGTTTATAATGAATTCAATTACATCAAAGAGCTTTCCAAAAATGCTTCACTGATACCATTGGAAGGAACTTGCCAGACATGCCAGAGAGAAGGGCTGTGTTGTTCTACTTGTAGCAATAATCTCCAGAGATAATTCTTCTATAGTAGGTAATTAATGTGAAGAGAAACAAACCACACAGTGTTCTCTTCCTGTAAAACTCTCCAGTATCTTTTTTCCTACAATGTGTACTTTCAGCTCGGAAATTTCAAAGGAAGCTCATAGGTACCATGTAGAATTTACATATGTCTCCTGATACTGGTAATAAAATGACAGCACATCAAAAAACATTAAGGCAATCTGGTTTTTGCTTTCTCCCTTGCTTTTCACCCCCCCCTTGTTTACCGTCCTGTCTGTTTGCATTGGCCGCTGTGCACGGCTATGTGTGGTGACACCTCCTTCAGTGGAGCTGCTGCTCCTCCCCATGGGCTGCCAGCCCCGGCCTCTGCTCGGGCTTTTCATCTCCTCTGAGAGGCTTGGAAAAGGGGATGCTGTGGCACTCAGGTGTAAGCGTGGAGATGCCCCTAAAATGGGGTCCCCAGTGCCCCTCCTCGAGCAGGAGAGCCCTGACACCCCCCAGGATGAGAACGGCTGAAAACTCCCCTCCTGCAAAGGGAGAGGTGCACGTGCTCTCTGAGATGCTGGATGGGAGCAGCTTGGCTTCTGTGTGCCCAAAGAAACGTGGGAGAGCAGGGAAGCAGGAGAGGAGGGAAGTAGGAGAGGAGGGGAGCAGGAGACGGGGGAGGCCGGAGCACACGTGTGCCGCTGGGCGATGCGGCGGCAGCCCGGGGACTGCACTCTGTGGTGCATCTGCCACTCTCTGGGGCTCTGCACAGCCAGGAGAAGGGGATTTTTTTTTTTTAGACACACAGATTGGAGTGTGTTGCCACAGGGAAGGTTCCATAGGAAGGGTCTTGTTCGAGCTCCTCTGCACGTGTCAGTCGTCACTGTGCTGTCGCTTGCTTGGTTTCCCAGGGAGCAGCTTGAACACCGAAGGGCAAAATCCAGGCTGCTCCTCCCCACGTCCTGGACCAAGGTCTCCTAAACTCAGCCATTTTTTTTTCACTGATTTCCACAGGGGTTTGAACCAGGGTTTGATCCTGCTGTCATTAGAATGCTTGAATTTCTCTGAAGCCTGTATTAAATTGGAGACTGTGGAGCAGGCTGAGACCCCTCACGCTGCTCTTTCAGGAGCACGAGATGCACACGGTGTTGGTGCCTTTGCCTAAGCCAAGCAGGAAAAATAAGGATTATTCTCAACATGAGAAACTTGTGCCAAGAAATGGCTGGAAAGAGTGGAGAATGAGATGGAGCCAGCAGACTGCAAGGGTGTTGCAGAGGGCAGAAATGGGACGGAAGCTCTCGTGTCTCCTTTGAAACAGGATGCAAATATCCTCCTGTCTTAGACAATGATTTGGTCCCTATTACATATAGGGATGAGCTCATCTCCTCTGGATTTAGACGTGGAACCTTTCAGTAATCTCTAAATCAACTGTATGCATGGGGAGCTGCAGTTCTTAGGAAAGTTAAAGCCTTGTCTCCGTGCAGGAGAGGGGGAGCTCTGCGGGGGAGCCACTGGAGACCGATTTTGCAGAAGACATAAAGGGCTGGACCAACTTGTTTTTAAGATGTGTACTTAGTCACCTTGGAAAACAGCTTTTAGGAACACCCGTCACAAGCGCACTTACAGCAATTTACCGATCTCATGTCTTACCATGGAGCTGTTTTTCCCCAGTTCTCACTTTTCTCCATATAAAGGAGGGCATAATGCGCTTTTATCAAGATGCTACTTAATTCCCCTTTCCTTCACAGCCCTTTTACTAATGATGTTTGTTTCCTAAAGCTGACTTGGCATCAATTTAACATTAGTTCCAAAGCTTTGTGTGAAAGGTAAGTGCAGCTGTGTTCACACCCTGCCTCAGCCTGAGCTCAGAACTCGTGTCACCTGGGTGCTGTGACTGATCTGAACCGACAAAAGCAAAGAGGAAAAAACATCTGGAGTTTTCTGGGGAAGGGAACTTTTCGGAGATTTTTTTTTTTTCCCTTCTTCTTGTCTTAGCAACTAGAAGTTGTTGCCCAGAAGTGAGCAGAAGGGCAGAGTGGTTCTCTAAGTGGTGTTTCAGGCAATTAGTAGTGTAATTGAGGTGTTTTTTGCCTTGCCAGCAGTGTTATTCACCACTCCCTGATCTCCCAACACCCTGTGAGCTGCAGTTCCTCTCCCAGGCAAAGGGCACTGCTTTCAGCTTGGCTGCTCAGCTCTTTTGCTCAGAAGGAACAACAAGGCAAGGAGTCCTCTGGGGAGGGGGAATCCAACTCCAACTTTGCAGGAGCACTCGGGTTCCAAGACTTGCCATCAGCAGAGAGAGTGGTCATCCGGAGGAGACAAAACCAGCGCCCTCATTTCAAGCACCAGGTTGGTGGATGAAATCACTTTTGGGGGGAGGATTACATGCCAGCACAGAGCAGCAGTGGCTGGCTGGCCAGGCAGGGAAGTCACAGCCCATGTTCATGCTGGGATTTTGCTGTTAGCTGCAGAAATTTCAGCTTCCTTCCTACAATGCAGTAATTTCACTGCAGGGGGAGGTGGCTCAGCAGCTGCAAAGGATGAGGCTTGCATAAGGGTTGGGTTTTGAGCATTAGGAAAAGCTTCCTAGTGGGCTGGAACCCACTCCTCAAACCTGTTTTGATAAACTAACCAGATAATTACTCCCTCTGTAAAAGATCCTGGCCAATCTGGGAACGGTAGCTGCAGTTTTCATTTGAAAACTTGCCATGTGATATTTAGATAACAGGCACCGAAATCATGAGCATTCCCCTGGCCGAAAAAACCCTTGGATAAAACCCTTGAAACCCCACAGCAGGAGGGTTGGAATGAGATGTCCTTCAAGGTCCCTTCCAACCTAAACCATCCCATGATTCAATAATCCAGTGATTCTATGAAATGGGGGGCCCCAGGGGTGATGGCTGTGTCAACTGCTGTGTCAACAGCACGAGCTGCACGTGCTCTGTGCCACCCACTTCGGGCCAGTCTCTTGCAGTGAGTAAGACTTGGGCTGCTCTTCAGAAAAGGGAATGCCAGGGGAGTGTCTGAGGCCACACCTGTAAATCCTGAGCATTGGGTCTGTGTTCACTTACGGAGCAGGTATTCTGAGCTGTCGTGGTCATAGTCATTGTCTTCAGGGAAGTGGTTGATTCGGAAACAGTGTCCTTTGTAGATTCCTAAACGAAAACAAAGCAAACAAACCCCATAAGGAATAGAACCAGGTAAATGTGCTTTTTTTTCAAGCTGTCAAGAAACCACCTCCAAAGCCATGAATTTTGGGCAGCTTGGGCTGAAGCACAGCTGCAGGAAGGGAGAGCCAGGATTCCTGGGCTGGGTTCTTCAGCCACTAATATCGTTCTCTTGAGGTTTTTTTTAATCTCTAATGCTTTACTTTATCAGCACTGTGCTTATCTAGCAAGCACACTGAGTTTGCAAAGCTTCTTTCTGTTCCCAGGGTGACTGTCACTCTGGGTCCCTGCTCCATGGCTGGGACTCCACGGCAAAGCCAAGTACCAATCCCACACCCACCATCCCTCCCATCTCGTCCCAGTGAAGTGCTGACTTCCCTTATCAGACTGGTAAATGCTGAACTGTCTGAGGCCTCCTCAATTGCTCTCTAGGCTGGGAAAACAAGTCCATAAATCTCTTCCTGCTGCAATTTAAACCCATATGTCCCCCTCAAGGTTGGCTCAGCTTTTAATGGCATATTTGCTTAGTTAACTGGGAGCCTGTGCAGCGAGTCAGGGCAGAGTGTGCACTCCTGATACCTGCAGGAACAATGCCAGAGCTGACCAGATGAACCCCTCACTCTGCTGAACAAGTCAGCACTTTGTCCACCCAGGCAAAGCTTTACATGAGCAGTTTGTGTTCTTTCCTGTCCCAGTTATCCCCAGTCTGAGCTGCAGTTGGGTCGCTGTGGCACCGGGAGCCACACGGGGACCTGTCCCCAGAGAGCTTCCTGCAGGAGTGAGCCCTGAGCTCTGATTCTGCCTTGGTGCTTTCATTATTCATTAACCAGTGCTTTCGTGCTCGGGAACATACATCACCCAGGATGAGTTATCCCTGCACAGGAGCTTCGGTGCTTACAGCTCAAGCTGGCAGAAGGATTTAAAACCCATCAGTTAATACTACTTTAACAGAAGCACAGCTGCAGTCTGTAGGATATAAATGTGGATTTATTTCACTACCTATTACCAATGATTACAAAGATCTCAAAAGAATTACTAATCCGGAGGATTTAAATTGCACCCTGCGAGTGTCAACTGCAGGTTTGCTACTACAGCGCATTTAATTCTCCCAGTAAATGATGTCTCCACTCTAATTGCAGGAACAGCTCAGGCTTTCTCTGCACAGCACTTCAAAGGCTGGCAACAAGATGTAAGTGGCTCATGTCACATCTGGAAGTGACACACCTGTCCTGGCTGCCAGGTGGAGGGAGCACTTCAGCTGGGACTGCTCCTGCCCGTGCATCCCCCTGCTTGCCATCGGAGGGGCTGTTGCTGCTGATGGCTCTCCAGGCAAGGCAATCCAAAATCCAGATTTTAGAGATCCCAGTGCTCATTTTTGTGGCAGATGAACTAAATCACTCCCAGCATTATGGGGCCTCTGAGGCTGGATGGTCATTGCATTGAGTCTCTCCACTGTGGTGAGACAATTTACAGGAGATACGCTCAGTGTATGATTTTTTTTAATCCTCTCTATTCATTAAGGGAAAAAAAAATCTAAATAATCTTTCCATCCTATTTTCCCATGGAAATAGGCTTTGCAATGGCTGTGCTTGTGTGTGTACAGGTGGGGCCATCTGTCAGTCTGTAGGTACTGTACTCTGTGTAATTCCTAAACTGCCAGAGGGCAGGGTTAGATTAGAGGGCAGGGATAGCAGGAGGAAATTCTTCCCTGTGAAGGTGGGAGGCCCTGGCACAGGCTGCCTAGAGAATATGTGGCTACCCCATCCCTGGAAGTGTCCAAGGCCAGGTTGGATGGGACTTGGAGCAACCTGGGCTAGTGGAAGGTGTCCCTGCCCCTGGCAGGAGATGGAATGAGATGATCCTTAAGATCCCTTCCAACCCAAGCCATTCCATGATTCTCCAATAACTTTTAAGGTAGTTTGTTGAATTCATCCAGAGCTGTTACAAAAGTAGAGGTATCACAGGTCACTTGAGTTCCCACAGCTTTGGTGCAGACGGGGAGAGCCACGAGCAGCTCCTTCCACTGCAGGGCTGGAACGGCCCAGCAGGACAGGAGTGATGAGCCCTTCATTTCCTGGTGATTATATTTGGAACCTTTCACATGAAAGAGTATTAGCTAGACTAGCAGAGGTGAAAAAGCATAATTAGCCCCAAACAAAATTCTGGATGAGCTTGAGAGTTCCTTTTTAGTTCCAGCTTTTGGGAATACTGGGATTGGTCATTCTGGCCAAATTTTTTATAGAAATAGCAAGTGCCTGTGAAATTTGGACCTGTATCAAAGCTTAGGAATGCAAAATATTCTTCCCAATATTTTTGATGTAGTTCAGAGCACAGATCCTGGTTCAGGGTCCTCTCAGGTGTCTGTGGTGTTTGATAGCTAATAACAGCAGCAGACTGGATAACTTTTACCCATAAAAACTTAACAGTTGCCACATAACTCAGCAGCAGCTTATTAAACTCTCAGTGAGGCTTGAAGTTGTTATCAAGAACTCTGGTGATGTACAGGGTATTGAGGGCTCTTCCAATCCACAAAGTAACAAAGGCTTGCTAGGAAAAAATAACAATACCTTTTTTTCACAGTGATAGACTTTGAAACTCAGATTTGGGGAAAATTAAAATTAGCTGGAGAAGCTACTGAGGCAGCGGTCAGCCCTAAAAGCACAACAGCAGAATCTGACTTGTGCTTAAATATGAAAAATAAAACCAAAGCAAAGCTGGAATTTGCTGGAATACCCATCACCATGGCCTGGCATGTAAAGCAATGCAAAAAAAAAAAAAAAAAAGTAATGAAATAGCCAAGGTGGCAAAAAAGGAAATGCCTCAATTAAAGTCAGTAACAACCATTCTGCAGCATCTGCACAAGGGCTGATGTGGGAGGGAGGTTTTTTTCTTTGCTTGAGTATGGGGGGACACAGTCCCTTCCATCCTTCGGAGAGGAAGATGGAATATTTAACTCCTACTGCTGTACCCACTAGAGAGAGAGAAATAAATGCAATCACTGCCTAACAGATACTAAAATATTGAGAAGCACTTCTGGATACCTCTTGAGGCTTAGATATAATATCCCACTGAGATGCTGTAAGTATTACTCCTTTCTTTGAATGATTACTGATATATTTTAAATGATGCTTTTAGAAATACAAATATTATAATGCATTTTTTTACCTGATACTAATAACAACTTTGTTCTGAATTTTGAGCCAGGACTTGAAGGTTTGGGCTAATGATAATGAAGAAGTAAATCTTCTGAAGTGCTGTTGATGGAGGAAGAACATTTTTTTTCCACTGGTTGCAGCACACTTAGCTGGCATTTAAAAACTAAAGAGTGTTTCTGACTTGGTTCTACTTTGTGTTCAAGGGCTTCTCCAACAAGGTTAGTACCTCCCAGTCTCACTAAGTGTTGTTCAGACAACTATAATTAGAGTGTGATGTACTCAGATAATGTGATAAGGACGGGAACTGTAGTGCCTAAGTGAGGATTAAGCTTTGTTTTGGGGTTTGAGATCTCAGAATACGTAGAGCTTTCAACAGCAGCTCAAAGTAGTGATCCCGAATTCTGATGACATACAACCTTCTCCTTGCTCTTTCTGAAATAATCCTTTAATAATCCTGCCTTTACCATTGCAGATTGTTTGCTGGGTTCTTATTTTCTGATGACTGAGATGCTGGGTTCTTATTTTCTGATGACTGAGAGTGAGGGTTAATGCTGAAGGATGCAAATGCTTTTTAACTTGGTGGCCACTCATTCCACAATCCCGTTGTTGTCCATACCATCAACCAGGTCTTTGGAACAGCCATTTCCTGTGGTCAGTGTTTATCAATGACAACATTCCCTGATGCCCTGGAAGTGTTTGCACAAACCAGCACTGGAAGACAGAGCTCTTAAATGTCTGACAATATTTGTCAGGGGCAGGACGGACTTCTGTTTTCTCCCTGCCCTGACCCTGAAATCTCCACACAACAAGATCCCTCCATAACATCAGTGCTCTGTTGTCATTTAAAATTGCTTTCCACCACGCAGGACTCGGGCAGCTCTGCAGCAGAGGACCCTGTCTGCGGGGTACTGCTGTCAATAGCAATTTCTGTCTCCCTGCTCCGAGCACGCGCTCACGGGAGGAGATATCCGATAGCAGTGGGAGACACATGAGGAGAGAGGGGCTGAGCTGCTGCCTCCTTCTGCATCCACAGCCTCTGCAGAGCCACTGCTCCATTAACCATTTCAGCTTCCAGCCCTCCCACCTCCCTGCTTGGTGAGATTAGTCAGTAAAACATCAGGTTTGGGACCTGCAGAGAAGCCTCGTTTTCTCACGGGGCACCAAACATTTGGGACCTCCTCGGATCAAACCCTGCCCTGCCAACACGCCACATTCTTGCAGCTCTTGAGCAGCTACAGATTACTCGGTGCACACACATGCACACTATTAATAGAGGTAATCAGGGTGTTCTCCCAGGGGAGTTACACTGATGGAATGAGGGCTGTGAGTGGCAGCTGCCCCAGCGGTCACAGGGCCCCAGCAGTTACCTGCAGGCAGGTAAATGCACCCCCCACCCACCTAAAATCCCACTAACCACCTGATTTCCTTCTGGCAAACATGGGCCTTCTGGGATGGTTTGAAGACATGGAATGAAATTATTTTCAAGATCATTTGACAGCGAGTGCTTGAGGATAGAGGGAAGGCAAGCTGCAAGGAGCTGACTGTATATTAAAAATAAGGCAATTAGTGAGGTACCATGGGAAATTCGGACCGATGGTTCTGCTTGTTGCATCTATTCTGTGATTAAACGCTGTGCCTCAGTTCCAGAGCTGACTGTCAGCCTGATTTACTGCAACACATGAATATCTGGATGTTTAAATGACAAGTTTTCTGAATATATCAGCGCAGGGACGGCTGACTGACAGATAACATCACAGACCACGAGCAAAGCGTGACGTGCAGGGTGGGCCTGTTGTAACAGAAGTTGCCCTGAACACAGTGTCCATCCGTGTG